CTACTATCTTCTCAATTGTTKCGGACAATCAGAAAATGCTTCCAGAAGAATACAAAATGCCCACTAGGGGCAGTGTCTCACTGTGGAGAGTCACTGGTCAATAAAATCTCTTCTTGCATGGTAATCTTTTACTTCTGCTTCAGTATGTTGCTTCATCTTTCCTCATCTTTCACTTGGACTTCCCGACTTTTCTCCTTATTCTCAGTCTTCTCTGCTTATAGTTCAACATACATGTTGAATTACATGTCATTCCCCTGCTGAAAATCTATATTGGTTCCCCAGCACTATAGGGTAAAACACATTTTTTTTTTTTTCAGATTGGATGGAGGTCAGTAATCTGATATCATATTTCAAATCTGACCTGTCCTGTACAACCTTCTCCTATGTAGCTGTACTCTTCCCCATGTAGTCTCCAGAATTGAAAAAAAATAATCAGTCTTTTCACCAACTTTGCTGGTTTTTTTTTTTTTGGGGGGGGCGGGGGGTGGCGTCTGGCAAGTTCTTACTAATACTTCAAAAGGCAACTCAGGCATTACCATCCAGTAAAACCATTTCTTGTCATTCTCCCACTTAATCCTGAGCTTGTATCAATCTTATGTTTTGTAACTGTTAGTCTGCTCTTCCCTTAAATTGTGAGTTATCTGAGGGAAGGGATTTTTAATCCTATCCAGTGTATCAAATAGTTAGAGGTTTATGAGGAGGTCTTTAAAAAGCATTTATTTGTTTACTTTTTGTAGTGCTGGGGACGGAACCCAGGGACTCATGCATGCTAGACAAGTACTCTACCATTAAGCTACATTCCCAGGGCATTTTTTTGTTTGTTTGTTTGTTTTTTTTCACTTTGTGACAGGGTTTCACTAAGTTGCTCAGGTTGTTCTCAAGCTTGTTTCTCCAGCCTCAGCCTTCAGTAGCTGGGATTCCACACTCATCTAAAAAAGCATTTACTGGACTAAATTTCAGTGATAGCGATAGGTATTTAGAGAGCTCTGCATATTACCATATAATTGTTTTTGTTTGTCTTTCAATATTTTCTCATCCTTTAGCTAGCTAGTTTATTCTTTCCAGTTGATCACAGCCTTTTAGTTTGTTCTTTATCTAGTAGTTATTTAATCCCCAATGAATTTCAAAACATCTTTATTATGCTTTTTTACTAGCTTCCATCCTCCTTGTAGTGACTGAGACAAATATGCCCTTTGAAGCCCATTCTCTCATTTTTATTTTACTTAATTAAGGCTATATATCTCAGATGACTATTCTTTCTAAAGTTATTTGAAATCAGCTCATGAGAATAGGATTTGTTTTTAACTATTCCGGTTTTTAAAAAATTATTATTCCATATGTATAATTTCTCTTTTTGTCACTGTGACTCTCATATTGGTTGTTCATGGTTTTATAACATACATGCTTGGTGTTCACCAGGACTTGACTTTGGGGTATTTCTCATATTCAAGAATGTTCACCTCTTTCAACTCCTTTGCTAATTAAGCAAGAATGAAAATAAACTAATTTTAAGAATCTTGGTTATTATATATCTGGGCTTCATGGTGTTGCTTTGCTAGCTATCATAAGAGTGGCCATAATCATTCATCATTTTTTTCCTTTATTCTTTTATACCTTCATTTAATTTACTTATTTTTATGTGGCATTGAGGATTAAACCCAGCGCCTGGCATATWCTAGGTGAGTATTCTACTTTGAGCCACAACCCCAGCACCCCCACCCCCCAGCCTTTTTTTTCTTTTTCATCTACTTTATTCCTTGCCCTCTCAGGATTTAGCAGCAATATTTCAATAACGTGTGGATGACTTTCCTTTGGGTCATTAGAAAAATAGTTTCTGCAGAAATAATCTACATAAATGATAGTGTAGAGACATTTTTCTGGAGGCTACAATGTGACCTATTGAGATACGCTAAATTGGTTCTTATTTGTCAGGACATTCAGCTCTTTCCTTTATTTCATTTTGAAATGGAAGAATAAATGGGGAAAAATGTGCTCTGAAATCCTCTGTCCCGCTTTAGCATGTAAATAGCATCATGCACAAAAAATTTCAAGCTGTCAGGAGTAAAGAAAGTATGATAATTTAGGATAATTAAATGCTTTAGACAATCAAAATAGAACTGATCCTAGTAAGTTTTTCTTACTTGCAGAAAACTTCTTTAAAAAGTAGTTACTGATCTAAATGTCTTTCAATAGGGCTGTAAAAAAATTGTACAGTAACAATCCACAATATGGACTATTCTACAATCTCAAAGAAAGCATACCTATATGGATGGACATAAAAAATATGTATGGCTGTTTTTAAAAAAAGAAAGATTGTGAATGATATATGTATTCTGATCTCATTCAGTTAAAAAAAATAACAGAAACTGAAGCAAAATATATACAAAAAATAGGGGTGAAGATGTATACACCAAACTTCTCCAAGTCTGCACTGAGAACTTACATTTCTGTGTTTGTTTACCAGATTATGAGCTGCTTTGTTGCTAGATCAATTGCAGGATGCCAAACTAAATTTAATTCCAATTAGAAACAAGTTTTTTAGTGAAAGAATTTCCCACATATTGAATGAAAGATATTTTTACTGAAATGTTTTCATTGTGTATCTGAAATTCAAGTTTAACTAGGAGTCTCGTAATTTTTATTTGTTAAATTTGGAAACTCTACTTTAAGGAGACCTTTAATTAAACATCCTGTACTTCTGTCACTAACAGTTGCAGAGATAAAATAGGTCACCATAAATGACAGGAGGGAAAGTAATTAAGGAGAAAACAGTAACAACAGGTGGTTTTGCTAAGTATGTTTCATATATTATTTCAATTCTCATGAAAAAATGCCTTAAAGTTTTATTAGTGGTACTAATTTTTTTTAGGGGAGGGTATCATGTTTTTTTGTTTTTGAGATTGGTTTTCGCTATGTTACTTGAACTGGAGATCCTCCTGCCTCAGCACATGTCACTCCACCAGATTTAGTGGTCCTATTTTAAAGATTAAGAAAAAGAAATACACAAAGCAGTCTTGGTGGTGCATTCCTATAATCCCAGCTACTTGGCAGGTCCTTAGGTAGGAGTATCTCAAATTCCAGCCCTACCTGGGCAACTCAGCTAGACTATGTGTCAAAATTTAAAGACTGGGGATGCAGCTTAGTAGTAGGACATTTGCCTAGCGCTTTCCAGGCCTTGTGTTCAATCCCCAGTACAGAAAGAAAGAACAATAACAACCTCCACAAGACATAAATACTAATGATATCTCCCTTGCCTCTGAGCTGTTTTGAAGATCAGATAAGAATATGTATTGTTTTTCTATATTCTGAAATGTCTCACTCTTCTACCAGAGCAGTTGCTCTTTTGCTAAAATCAAAAGATTTTATAAAATCAAAGATTTAAATAATGCCCCAGCATCACTATAGTTTTAATTAATTTTATTTTTAAAATTATATATTCAAACTGCCTCTTTATAGTGTAAAAACTATCATGAGTTTTAACACATGTATAGATTTATATAACATCACCACAATTGGGATACAGAACATGACTACAGCTTTTCAGATTCTTTTTTGCAAAAAATGTTTCACATTTATGTTGCAAAAAATAAAAGAAAGGGATTTAGATAAATGTGCTGAAGATGCAAATTAATGAAACTGGCTTTTTGCACAAATCTCTGCAGTCTCCAATCTCTGCAGCTTTTTTGACTGGGCCATTTTTGTTGTTGTTTCTGCAGACCCTTTCTACTAACCATGAATAGATGCAGCCTTGGGGTCCTCACACTAGACATGTTACAGGAACAAACTTCAACATTACTTATTTGATCCTTTTTATTGTACTAGATCTTAATTTTCTCAACCGTTTTCCTTAATATCATTTATCCCCCTCTTTAATATGAAGAAACCTGGAATAACAAGGACCTTCTTAATACTGTGGAGGAAGTTATTTGATTGGGGCAAAGGGGATATAGAGTTTTTGAGAGAGCAATGACAAGGCTTTCAGGACCCAAGAATCGTTCCAATATAATAACAGATCCCTCCTGTAATCAATCACTTTCTTAGTTCTTTTCCCCAACCCCATAGTCCTGCTCCCTGCAGGGTGCCCCCTGGGACTAGGGACTTTGGGATAAACTTCTGCATTCCGGGATCAACCTGGTCTATTCCCCATCCCACCAAGTTCTTTCAGCTTAAGTTACTTGCACTGACGCCACATCTGGAGGGGGTGGGGCGGGCGGGTCCGCTTTCTGGGTGACTCACTTGGTTGCTATTTGCCTTTTGTTTCTAAAATGCTTTGGCTGCCGTTTTCTTTCTTCTGCTTTTAATTTTTGGAGGAGAAAAACCTAATGAATCAAGAATGAGTCTCCTCTCCACTAATCTTTCTCAACCGCCCCTCCCCCAAAGTTGGTTCTCTCTTCACAAGTTCCATAACTACCCAAGACGCGCGGGGGCGGGACAGGTGGGAACGCATTAACAACACTTAAATCTGAAGTTGACAGCCAAAGGTACCAGTTTGGTGGGGAGACTTTCTCAAGCTCCCTTACACACTGCTCGGCGTTTGCTTTTGCCGCTGTACATTTCAGCTCATTTCTTTTTGCTGCTGCTGCTGCTGCTGCTTTGCGCTGCTCCGTCACGCCTTTATCTCTTCGCTGCCAAAGGAGCCCGAAGCAGGATAAATTCCACGAGATTCCCCAGCGGTTTCGTTCCTGTCCGAGGTAAATACTGTATGCAAAGTGTAGAACCACCAAAGGATGCCGGGGAGGGGGAAGAGAGAGGGATTCCCTCACCTTTTCCGGCACGTTCCCCGTTGATTTCCACCAGGAGGAGGCGCGCGGCCGGATCACCCAATCTCCCTTTCTAAGTCCACCCTACCTAGGGCTGCCAAGGTTGGCTGCGCGGCCAAAATCCCTCCTGCAGGCCAGGCCCTCCCCCTCCCCCCGGCTTGGTTTTTCCCAGCTGTGGAGGTTGGGCCAGGGGCTGGGGTGCTTGGAGAGTCGGCGCTTGCATCGCGGAGCCCGGAAGTCGCCCTGACTCTGGTGGGACTCCGAGTTGGCTTCGGAGGTGGCGGGCACGGAGGTGAGCTGTGGGGAGCCAGCAACCGAGCAAGAACCCAGAGGTGGCGCCGGGGCCGCTCCCTGTCCTCGGCAGGAGAGTAGCTTTGGTCCTGATTGCCACCCAGCTCCGGGTCCCACCGCCGCTTTGTTCGCGGACTCCGTTTCTCTCCTTGGGAGAGGACTTGAACCCCCTCTAGGATCGAAGAGACTGGCGGGGCGCGGGTTGGGGGTGGGGTGCGACAGTTCTACGCCCCTCCATTTCCTATTAATCCAAGAAGATTCAAAGAGAGATCAAAGGACTCCTGTAACCTGAAACTTCCCTTTGGTCCTAACCTGGACCGGGAGGAGAGGTCTGGGCGGAGGCGGAGACCCCGGAAGGCAGGTGGTCCGCGGAGGCGGTGGGAGAAAAGAACTGGAAGGTTGAGAAGTTTAGTTGGGAAGACGCTGGGGATTAAGCGAGAAGTTAGAGGCGGGAGATGTGTGAGATCGGGGAAGGAGGAGGGCGGGAGGCTAGATGGGTATATATAGTGTGGGCCGGGGCGAGCCCAGACTTGGCCCTCCGGGTCTTGGAACTAGATACCGCTCGGCTCCGGGGTAGGATGTGCGATGCGGTTGGGGGAGGAGAAGACAGTGCGGGCGGTTGGAAGGAGGTCTCTGGGACAGAGTGGAGACCTTGGCTCTCAGAGACCGGTTACTTCTCTCGGGGAGGGGAGTACACCGGGGTCTTCACGCTTCTCTCTCGCTTGTCCCAGGTCGCGCAGCGGATCCACTGACTAGCGCCAATATCAAGAGGCAAGGAGGTGCCACCCAGGGCGGCGCTGGAAGTGGAGCGGGAGGAGGAGCGCGGAGACCTGCGTCCCTACCCGCCGTGCGTACTTTCTGGAGGGAAGGGCGGGGGAATTAGCCCCGGGAGGGGGACGCTTGGTGGCAAGGGGGTTATTAGCCAAGTTCCGGCTGCGGTGGTCCCCCTGGGCTCCCACAAGAGGAAAGTTTTCTCCAGACGTTTCCGGCCGGCTCGCTCCCTCCGGGCCCAGCCTCCTGAGCCTTCGGAGCGGGCGCCGTCCCAGCCCAGCTCCGAGAAGACGCGAGCCGCGATGCCTGGGGGGTGCTCCCGAGGCCCCGCCGCCGGGGACGGGCGGCTGCGGCTGGCGCGGCTGGCGCTGGTCCTCTTGGGCTGGGTCTCCTCGTCCTCTCCCACGTCCTCCGCGTACTCCTCCACCTCTTCAGTGTCGTTCCTGGGCTCGGCGGTGTCTGCTCAGCCTCCACTGTCGAGCCAATGCCCAGCGATGTGCGAGTGCTCCGAAGCGGCGCGCACCGTCAAGTGCGTGAACCGCAACCTGACCGAGGTGCCCGCGGACCTGCCACTCTACGTGCGCAACCTCTTCCTCACCGGTAATCATCTGGCCGTGCTCCCCGCCGGCGCCTTTGCCCGCCGCCCGCCGCTGGCCGAGCTGGCCGCGCTCAACCTCAGTGGCAGCCGCTTGGTGGAGGTGCACGCCGGCGCCTTCGATCATCTGCCCAGCCTGCGCCAGCTCGACCTCAGCCACAACCAACTCTCCAATATCAGCCCCTTCGCCTTCTCGGGCAACAACACCAGTGCTTCTGTTCCCAGCCCCCTGGAGGAACTGATCCTGAACCACATCGTGCCCCCTGCAGACCAGTTACTGAAGCAGAACCGAAGCTTCGAGGGCATGGTGGCCGCGGCCCTGCGCACGGGCCACGCACTACGCGAGCTGCGTAGCCTGGACCTGGGCAGCAATCAGTTCCTTTACCTGCCTCGGGACGTGCTGGCTCAACTGCCCAGCCTCAGGCACCTGGACCTGCGGAACAACTCCCTGGTGAGCCTGACCTACGTGTCCTTCCGCAACCTGACATACCTAGAAAGCCTCCACCTGGAGGATAATGCTCTCAAGGTCCTTCACAATGGCACCCTGGCGGAGTTGCAAGGCCTGGCCCATGTCAGGTTATTCCTGGACAACAATCCCTGGGTCTGCGACTGCCACATGGCGGACATGGTGGACTGGCTCAAGGAGACAGAGATAGTTCAGGGCAAAGCCAGGCTCACCTGTGCATTCCCGGAAAAAATGAGGAATCGGGTCCTCTTGGAACTCAACAGCTCTGACCTGGACTGTGACCCTATCCTCCCGCCATCCCTGCAGACTTCTTATGTCTTCCTGGGTATTGTTTTAGCCCTGATAGGCGCTATTTTCCTCCTTGTTTTATATTTGAACCGGAAGGGGATAAAAAAGTGGATGCATAACATCAGAGATGCCTGCAGGGATCACATGGAAGGGTATCATTACAGATATGAAATCAATGCGGACCCCAGGTTAACAAATCTCAGTTCTAATTCGGATGTCTGAGGACTGGGGAAAAAGGACAACTCTGCATGAGGTGTAGACTTAAGCTTTATCCAGTATTAGGCTTGCTCTACTTCCACCCTCCACTATAGACACCGCTGACTTTGACTGAAAGCAGTGAAGGGGTTTTGCTTCTTGTTACGTAAATTTTCTTGGTGTGTTCTATTAATGTAAGAATGTAAGACGATGAACAACTGTGCATAGTGTTTGCCCTCTTTCTTTTCTTGGAACTCCTCAACACATGTGGAGTGATTTTTCAAGTTTCAGCATGGACTCCTTGCTGTTTCTCTTAGTACAGTTCAAGGTGTAGCAAGTGTACCTACACAGATAGCATTCAACAGAAACTGCCTCAACTTTTTTTGAGAAAAATACTTTATTCATAAATATCAGTTTTATCCTTATGCATCCCATGAACTGCCTGCAGACCTTAGCAAGCTCTTAAAATAACCCTGTAGTGCACAGGAGCACCTGCATCCAAGAGCATGCTTACATTTTACTGTTCTGCATATTACAAAAAATAACTTGCAACTTCAGATAACTTCTTTCACAAAGTAAATTACTTTTTTTGATTGCAGTTTATATGAAACTGTACTGATTTTTTTCTTTTTATAAACTGCATCAAGATTGAACAGACTGAATTGTTGGAAAAAATTCAATAAAGATTCTTAAAAGAATTACACTGTGTTCAAGTTTGGTATTTGAAAAATGGATGAAGGGCAATAATACTGAATGGTCTTGGTTCAGATGATAATTAAGTTATTGGTTAGCAAACTGGCCAAGGTCTTATATAAATAGTCTTGGAAGATAGTTTTGAAGTGGTGGATTCTTTTAGGATTTAAATAGAGTATTTGAATATTTATGTGACTACATTTCTCATGGTCCCAAAGTTAATGCTATTCATGAAACAATTTTGTAAGAGCTTTATGAAGTTGGTAAGAGTGAAGAGTTCTATATGATAAACAATTCACAGTTGGGGGCTTTTTCTGAACTAATGAAGTTGTTAGGGCAGAACAATATTATTTACTTAATAAAACTCTGAATTAAATTGTTCTATGGATGTTTAAAGGGTAAAACAAATATAATAGAAAAGTATAAAGATACAGTGTTCAGAAATAAAGATTTAAAAGTATAAAGACACAGTATTCAGAAATAAAGATTTAAAAGGATAAAGACATAGTATTCAGAAATAAAGATTTAAAAGTGTAACTTTAAAAAGGATTCATTGAGGTTATAAAGTAAATTACAACTTGGATTTTCTTGAGAATATTTTTTAAAAGCATTTAAATGAAATATACATCAGAGACCCAGCTAATATATTTTTAAAATTGCCATAATTGAATTTAAGCTTGAGGAAATAACCAGAGATAAAAGTCTGTGTTTATGTAAAAGTATTTCAACTAATCAGAGATATTAATGTCTAGTTCAGGATTTAAGAATTTGAGGATATTTTTTATGTTAGCTAAGCTCTTTATAGGCGTATACACTTTCATAAGGAATAAGTCATATTTAGACATAAATAAAAGCAACTCTACTCAATTGATAGCATTGATAATGGGTTTTTTTAAGCTTATCATCAGCCATTTAATCTGAAAAGTAAATTTTATTAATCAATCTCCAAGCCTTTAAGTGATTTAAATTTAGCCTTTATTCCCTAACTTAAAGCATTGGGTAAATATACATCAATAAATCTTAGGGCCTGCCTGCATTCACTTTAAATTAGTTATGCTCTTCAGTGCTTTATGTTTGAAATAAAATTTATATTTCCATATTTGTATAAATACAATAGAATTAGTACTTTAGGTTCTAGAAATGTTTGCTAATTCCTCTTTTTAAAAAATATTAAATTCAGAAGTTTCTGAATAGAGCTATCTATTCTATGTGACTCTATTTCTTGTTTAGATTATACAGTATAATCACAATAGACATTTTAATACCTTAAGTTCAACAAGACTCATTTTATGAAACTTGATGGCATTCATTATTATTTATGAGTTATATTTCAGATCCTATAATTACCTGAGAAAAGACTAAATATGTGATTCTTAATATTCCATAATTCTTTTAAATATTTCAAGTGTTCACCAGGGATTCATAAACTGGCTGACTGCTATTATTTCCTAAGAACAATGAAGATACTCTGGCCTATCAAAAATAGTGAGTGTCTAATAAATAACAGCATGGCATTTTAAGAGTAAGTTGCTGATAAACTTTAGTTGGTACATCTGCTGATATTGTAGAAAACAAATTATAATATTGATAGAGACTATATTCAGAAGAATTGTTTCTTTATCACAAGATTCTCTGTTAAAAATTGAGCTTGTCTACAATTGAGGAAAGCAGTAGATTCATAAGTTCTGCTTTTCTCATCACCTCCCTGAAGCAATGATGACTCTGATCAAATGAAGCTGGGTTTCCGTCTGTTAGGTGGGTGGCTTTTTTGAAGTTATGACTTCTTTCTTCTTTTACCTCCTCCTCCTTCTTTGTACGGACTTCCCAATTTACCATGGCTTTGTTTCCTATCACATCACTCCTTGCTATTCTCCAAAAGATAGCAATAGAAATTTTTCAGATAAAAATGTTGTTTGACAACTAGTTGATATTTGTGCAGTTATAATACACAATCTATATCCTTGGAAGATAAGTGTTATATAAATCCAATAAGAGGATATAGGAAACATGAAATAAAAGCAAAATTATTGTGACATTATTTAAAAATAAAACAAGTAGACTTGTAGACAGTTTTTTACCATTATGCACTATTATTTCTGAACACTTACAAATAATCCATTTTAAAAAATTCATTTTGGTTGGTGTTATACTTTATTGCTGAGTTTTAGTGTTGAGCAGAAAGCATCCTTTATCCATTACAAGTTTTGTTTGAAGAAAGTTGAAAAAATACCTTAAAGATGATCCCTTTTTAAAAAAGCTATTAAAGTGTCCAACAAAATAAAGATTTTAGAATAGTATAACTGTTTGACCTTGAGTTGAAACTCCCTTCTTCCATTGAAACCACTCAGTTTGTAGCATTAGTTTCTATAATATTAGTTTTGCTGTCATGAGTGTGATTCATTGGTGACCTATAAGGCAGCTGATAGATTTTTTTCTTACAAAATAGGGAGATATTTGATAGCTTTTTTTTGTTTTGTTTTTTTTTTTACAAGTAGGTACACATTTGCAGGAGTGGTAGGGAAGGCTGGGTTGAAATAAATGAGCAAATTATGATTAGATTCTTTAGAAATTATTAATTCTTTAGAAATATCTTGATTGACAATGAATATGGATTGTGCTCACCTCAATATTTAATTAGAAATAACATCTCTTAGTTTTCTGTCATTTTAATTAAGTGTCTGTAAAAAAGAAGAGTCAAATAAACTATGATTGTTTCTTTAGGAATTGTTTTACTCTGTCCCTTTCGACCTAATGTTTTAACGTAGGGGTTCCCTTGTAGAGGATATTATAAGCTTTGCAATTCTGGTTTTCAAGAGTTTATTCTCTTATACCATTTCTTCTACTTTCCATTTTTAATTTTCCTCCAAAGACTATGTTAAGAGACACTGTGAGGATTTGCAAGGCTAAAAACAATTTGGCACATGCTTTCTTCCTGCTCCGAAATCCATTCAGTTATCCAGCCTTCAGAGCAGCACCATAAAATGAAGAAATTTATTAGATGAAATTCAGGTTTACATTTGTGCAAGGATCTTTAACAGTAAAGGAGAGGAAAGGGGAAGAAATTTTATTTCTAGATAACCTGAAAAATAACTTGGTAGTGTCTTTTAAAAATCAGCAATACTGCAGTACTGTACTAGAAATAATTAGCTTAAGAAAATATATTCTGCATTGTCCAGGTGACCCTGTCTCCTTTCAGATGGAAAAAAAACCCAGCTCTTTCAGGTTGTTTTGTATAGTTATCTTTTCATTCTAATCCTTAAAGACTTTTAATTTAAAAAGACAGGCTTTTTAAAATTTTATGTCTTACCTTAGATCACTTTAGCAGCTGCATCTTATCCATGGGTTTTAAAAATATATAGATTTAAAAATAATATTAAATATATGATTTATATATCTATAAGAATATGAATTTCTTAGTATTTCAAAATAGGAAGGACTCTTAGACATGTCAAACCCAGTTTTCTGTCTACAAATAAGAAAGTGATAATTGTGACTTATATAATGACAGTCAGGACAAGATTCCAGTGCCCCTTCTAGCTCTCTTGATATTACTAATAACCTACCTTCAGGCCTTTGAAATTCCTATGTCTAGTTAAAACAAAAAAAAAGCATTTGTTTTGGTGAATTTATTTGTTTTATCATTTTTGCTTTGAGTATTTCAATTTGCTTCAGATTTCCAGATTTTGAAAGTTTTACTGTTTTAGACCCCTGAATATACTGAAATGTTTTTGAAATAATTTTTTTTCTGAGAATCTTATTACTATAAAGCCCCTCTGAGTCTATGACATGATAAGAAATATTTTGGAAAAGTAGTGGTGATAATTCTTCTGAAAGGAAGGCTAAAAATTCTAGAATGCTGTGCTAGCTTATATGATTCAATCTTAAAGATGAGTTAACTCAGCTGATGAGAAAAGAACCAAATGAAATCAACCAAGTTCATGGCTGAAACTAATCACCAGGTGAGACAGTCCACTTTGCATGCTGTGGTCTGCTCTCCTGGCCCACACCCTCTGCAGGTGCATGCTACCATCTTCCAAAGGCCTAGACCAGACAGGGTTGCTAAATCAATGCAAATTCATCATCACCCTGGAAAATCAGCAGACTGACCAGGCAGACTTGCCAGCTCTGCTGCTGACGTGCCTGTTTACTGTCTTTACACGGGTAGGCCATACAGCAATCTCAGTCACCTCACGCTGTAGGTATACATGTCACAGATTGCAGTTTGTCATTTATGTGAATTTTGAGAAGCCTCTTTTATGGGTACCTTTTAATAGATTCCATGGGAAATTATATTTTCTTAGCTTTTTAAAATGATAGTGTAGTTTAAGGTGAACTTTTATGATTATTATATCACTAACTTACATGTAAATGTTTATAAAAATCCTTTTGATGTTTAGCTGACTTATTATGATAATAGGACTTACTTGGGGTTTACAGTTTAATTTGGTTCTTGTAAAGTAACATTTGTTTCAAGGAAGCAAAAGCTTAAGATATGACCAGCTATAATACTTTTTGTGAAAACTAAATATTAAATAATATATCTTAAAGAATCTGAGGATGTTATCAAGCTGCAATGGAAGTTCACAGATTTCCATACTCCCTTCAACGACCCCCATAGTTCCTTAGTTCTGTTTTTACTATTTCATTTCTTCCCCCAGAGGAAACTATGATGAACATTGTAATGTGAAGATCAGAATAACTGAAACTTTAGGTGGGTCAGTTTTCAAATATACATGCCTCTGACAGTTTCCCTCTTTTAAAATATGTAAACTGTATTCAAAGAAGACTTTAGTTTTCATTTAAACCCATTCTATGATTATTCTTATGGATTATTCAAACACATGGCTATAAAACACTTCAAAGTCATATTTTTAAGTTAACTCACATTTTGT